ATAATAATAAATTTTCGATAAAGTCTGTTTCGCTTGGAAATGTGCTAGTTGTATAACTGCTCATTTCAAGAAAGTTAGGAGAGTATTATTTGAATAACTTTTGAGTGGAAGAAGATAGAAAGCTGCGGTTTTCACCGTTGGAAAGAGCAGATAAAAACACATCAAACCATATAAAACAATGACTTTTAGTTTGGATTTTTGAAACCTTTTGCAATAGTTGAACAAAGAAATGTCTTAAAATCAGGTCTGATTTTTCCAGGAAAAACGGAAAAAACTCAAAAAACCTGCGTTTTTTTACAGAAATTGCGGGCAAGGTGGACTAGAATTGTCGAATATAGTACCTAGAACTCCCAAACTAGTAAAGCTTTGAATCGAGCGTTATATCTAGTTTTGTAGCTCTTGAGCTGGCGATTCTAGCGCACTCCTCAAAGTTTAACATTTGTTCTACTTTCATAGAGAATTAGTCTACTCTTGCAAGATGACAATGGATCACTGCTTATTTTTGAGATAAACCTCGACAATTTTATATGAATTGATGCGCTGAATCAGCCTCTTTCCAAAGGTGAAAACCGCAGCTCTCTATCTTGTTTTTATCAAAAGTTATTCAAAAAATACCCACCCGCCTTCTTTTTTGGAATGGGCAGTAGTTGTATAACTGCTCATTTTAACAAGGTTAGGAGATTATTATTTGAATAACTTTTGAGTGGAAAAATATAGAGGGCTGCGCTTTTCACAGTTGGAACTAGCAGATGAAGATGCATCGAATCCTACATTACCAGTGTATTCTGATCACGATTCTCAAAGATTTTCCATTGATATTTTTGAAAACAACGCTAATTCATGGATTATTTACATTGAATCTTCAATTGTCAGGTGTGACTTCAAATCACCAATCAGTGATCAACAGAACTGCGAAAATATTACCTGTCTAAATTCAATCATCCAATATTTATACATATTTCAGTGTAAAGTCTGCATTATTTTTTGCAAAAGTTTCTGGAAAAATCAGTTTTTGGTTTTTTCTTTTTTTAATGAAAAATTATTTTTCTCAACTTTGAAAATTGATTAATATAACTCGATAATTCATATTGGAAACCCGGTAATAAATGACGGTTTGAGGCATCTTCATCTCCTCGCTCCAACGGTGAAAACCGCAGCTTTCTATCTTCTTCCACTCAAAAGTTATTCAAATAATACTCTCCTAACTTTCTTGAAATGAGCAGTTATACAACTAGCACATTTCCAAGCGAAACAGACTTTATCGAAAATTTATTATTATGATATTAGTTGAAGTATGATCAAATAGCATAGAAAAATAGAGTATTCTTTTCTCTATCAGACTATATAGAAAGAAAGTTTCTCAGAGCTTTCTATAAGGAATTACGAAACCTCTGCCACTACTGTTAGACTGATCTCAGTATATTTCAAATTTTGGACTGCCTACTACGCCCATCGTATGCTTATTAACATCTGCTTGGCAGAGGTTTACATTATTGTGTGTGATATGTTCTTCATCCATGACGATTGGCAAGCGATCCAGAAAATCGATCGTAATTTAAGGGAATTGAATAAACTGCTTATGATAATGAAGAAAGAAGAAACATCGAATGAGGAAGAATTCAACGTAGTTTATCTGAGTTAGGTGGAAATTCTAGTTGTTTTACAAACATCGATTCCCTCAGGATAATAAGTACAAATCGACACGTTCATTGTGTTGGTAAAAATCGTTTCCAAATAAAGATCTTGAAGTAAATGGATCCAACAAATACTGTGCCAATTACCTCATTAATTGAGCTCGTCATTTGACGTTCTCACCAGAACAGAGCATACTATTAAGACATAGTTTTCACCATTTGATGGCGCTCATCACATAGCACTTGGAGCATTGTACGTGGGACTGTGTTTTACAGTTGTTTTCGTAATGAGATCTAATGCTAAATTTTCATAGCCTATGTGATGATGCACATATTTTTATTTGATTAGACAAATATTCTCCTTTTTGTATGATAGTTTTACGTAACACAATGGCGGATGATGTACCTACATAGTTTTATGTTCAAACACTGATTTATGATGCGTGATTTAAATAGCAGTGGAAACGATGTGTATTCAATTAAATTGCTGATTTCGCAGGAAGGAATTGTGATTAGAGAATATAGTTGTTCGATATATTGGCTTACGTTTTCCCTTAAGGGGCCCCCCTCAGAAACGAACTTTGTTTTTTTTCATCCGATTTCAGCCAAAATTTCAGAGAATGTTAGTCTTGACTAGAATAGCTTATGGTTAAAATATCTCCCCCAAATCTCAAATAAATGCAGAAGTTCTAGGCCGTAGCTTCTCAAAAGAGATACTTTTTAATTAAAGATTTCGCTATTTAAAGAAAGCTTTGGCTATTTAAAATTCTCAAAAGAGATACTTTTTAATGAAATATCGCTATTTAAAGAAAACTTTGGCTATTTAAAAGCTTTGATACTGGTTTTTTCATAGTTAGCTAGCAATTCAAACAAAACAACAGTGACACTCAATTATTTTAATAGCTGCGTGGCTCATTGTTTTGCGTTCTGTTTTTTTTTTGAATTTATCCTCACATCAACTAAGCAACCCACTGCTCGTGGTTTATTTTGTTTTTTTCGAAATAAAAGATATTAGATGATAAAAAGATAAAATAAAAAAAACGAATTCATCCTCACATCAACCCAACAACCCTCTGCTCGTGATTTATTTTATTTTTTTTTGAAGTAAAAGAAATTAGATGATAAAAAGATGAAATAATAAGAAAGAATCCATCTTGTTATCAACCAAACACAAACCTCTGATCGTAGTTTATTTTTTTTTCAAAGTAAAAGATATTAAATGATAGAAAGATTGCATAAAAAACCGAATTCATTCTCACTCAACCAAACAAACCTCTGCTCGTGGTTTATTTTGCTTTTTTTTATTACAGTAAAACATATTAGATGATAAAAAGATGAAATAAGCAAAAAACGAATTCATCCTCATATCAACTAAACAAACCCTGTTCTGAAGAATCAGCAAGGTAGCATGAATATTTGAGCAAAATATCTACTAGTGATGATAACGTAGTATTCTTTTTGATGCTTATAAGAATAAACATATAATTGTCAGTATTTTTTATTGTTAGAAATCGCAGACCCTGATTTAGGTTTTTTTCTTTTCTATCGCAATTTTAAATAGTTGCAAGATATTTAGATAGCAATGATAGGATAAAATAGGCAAATGAATAATTAAATTTCTATGCAAATCATTAAATAGCTGTGCAAATCTTTAAATAGCTATAGCAAGTTTAAATAGCTGCAAGATCTTTAGATAGCTATGATAGCATTAAATAACCAAATGAATGATTAAATAGCTATGTAAATCATTAGATAGCTATAGCAAGTTTAAATAGCTACAAGATCTTTAGATAGCTATGATAGCATTAAATAGGTATGCAATTCATAAAATAGCTGTGCAAACCTTTAAATAGCTATAGCAAGTTTAAATAGCTGCAAGATCTTTAGATAGCTATGATAACATTAAATAGTCAAGTCAAAGATTAAATAGCTATGCAAATTATTAAATAGCTATAGCAACTTTAAATAGCTACAAGATCTTTAGATAGCTATGATAGCATTAAATAGCTATGCAATTCATTAAATAGCTGTGCAAACCTTTAAATAGTTATAGCAACTTTAAATAGCTACAAGATCTTTAGATAGCTATTATAGCATTAAATAGCTATGCAAATCATTAAATAGCTGTGCAAATCTTTAAATAGCTATAGCAAGTTTAAATAGCTGCAAAATCTTTAGATAGCTATGATAGCATTAAATAGTCAAGTCAAAGATTAAATAGCTATGCAAATTATTAAATAGCTATAGCAACTTTAAATAACTGCAAGATCTTTAGATAGCTATGATAGCATTAAATAGGTATGCAAATCTTTAAATAGCTATAGCAAGTTTAAATAGCTGCAAGATCATTAGATAGCTACGATAGGATTAAATAGTCATGTAAATCATTAAATAGCTGTGCAAATCTTTAAGTAGTTGTAGCAAGTTTAAATAGGTGCAAGATCTTTAGATAGCTATGATAGCATTAAATAGTCAAGTCAAAGATTAAATAGCTATGGAAATTATTAAATAGCTATAGCAACTTTAAATAGCTGCAAGATCTTTAGATAGCTATGCAGCAGTGGCCGGGTTCTAAGAGTTCAGAACTCTTCAAGAACCCTGA